ATCTCTCAACATCAGGGCTTCCTACTAACATGTAGATTCTAATGTTGAGTACAACATACACCACAAACAAGGGCTTTTCTCTTTATTTTATTTAAAATTTTCTTTCATTTTACAAACCAACACCTGTTCCCCCTCTCTCCCCTTCTCCCATTCCCCCCCATCTCCCCCAACCCCACCCTTATTCCCTCCTCATGGGGGTAAGGCCTCCCTTGGGTAGTCAACACAGGCTGGCATACCAAACTGGGGCAGGACCAAGCCCCTCCCCTTGCATCACAGCTGAGTAAGGCATTGCACCATGGGGAATGATCTTTAAAAAGCTAGTTTGTGCCCCAGAATAAGTCCTGGTCCCATTGCCAGGGGACTCATAAACACATCAAGCCACGCAACTGTCATTGACATTCAGAGTGCCTAGTGCAGCCCCAAGCAGGCTCCCCAGCTGTCGACCCATAAGGGCTTTTCTATATTCTTCGTACTAGTCTCATTTCACACCTGTATGAATTTTCTGATGCTGACACAGTGTGAGCAATGATGAAAGACTTTACCACACTCTGAACATTCCTAAGGGTTTTACCTGTTGTGGGATATTTGTACACTGTGAAGATGTATTGCTGTGATTGATATAATAAAAAGCTAAATGGCCAATAGCTAGGCAGGAGGTATAGGTGGGACTTCCAGGCAGAGAGAGAGGAAGGTGGACATTCTAGGCACACATGACATGCCAGGAGACAGGGAGAGGAAACAGGAGGTGCAAGATGAAAGAAAGGTAAAAAGTCACATGGTAAAACATAGATTAATAAAAGCAGGTTAATTTAAGTTAGAAGAGTTAGTGGGAAAAGCCTAAGCTAAGGCCAAGCTTTCATAATTAACAGTAAGTCTCTATGTCATTATTTGGGAGCTGGCTGGCGAGACAGAAAAAGACTTGTTATGTTCAGTGTGGATTCTCTGATGTTTGGTAAGATGTGATTTTTGACTAAAGGCATTTCCACATTCCTTACATTTAAAAGGTTTCTCTCCCACATGAGTTTTCTTATGACGAGTGAGATTTGAATGCCGATTAAAACCCTTGCCACATTCTTTACATTCATATATTTTGTTGCCAGCATTAACTACATAATGAATATTCTGATGCTGAGTCAGGTTTGAACTGCGATTAAAACCTTTTCCACAAACCTCACATACATAAGCTTTTTCTCCAGTGTGAATTTTCTGATGTGAAGCAAGATTTGATCGATGAGTGAAGGCTTTTCCACAGTCGTCACATGCATATGGCCTTTCACCAGTATGAACTCTGTGATGTTGAGCCAAGTTTGACTTCAAAGTAAATGATTTTCCACATTCCTTACATTCATAAGATTTCTCACCAGTATGATTTTGTCTATGTAAACTAAGTTGTGAAGGAAATCTAAAAGATTTCCCACATCTCTTATATCTAAAAGGTTTCTCTCCAGCCTGATTACTGTTATGACTAGTAAGAGCTGATCTAGCATGAAGTTTCTTATGACGAGTGAGATTTGAATGCCTATTAAAACCCTTGCCACATTCTATACATTCATATATTTTCTTGTCAGCATTAATCACACGACAATGAATGTTCTGATGCTTAGTCAGGCTTGAGCCACGATTAAAAGCCTTACCACAGACTCCACATGCATAAGCTTTTTCTCCAGTGTGAATATTCTGATGTGAAGTAAGATGTGATCGCTGAGTGAAGGCTTTTCCACAGTCATCACATGCATATGGCCTCTCACCAGTATGAATTCTGTGATGTCGGGTTAAGTTTGACTTCAAAGTAAAAGATTTTCCACATTCCTTACATTCATAATATTTCTCACCAGTATGGATTCTCTGAAGGCCAAATATTCTTGAATGCAAACTGAATGGCTCTCTAGATTCCTTCCATTGATGAGTTTTCTTACCATAGAGAACTTGCTGAAAGTGAGTGAGTTCTGAATCAGGAAGAAAAGTTTTCCCACAGTCCCTATCTTTATGGAATTTGTTACCAGGGTGAGTTAACTGAGGATGAATATGGTCTGATCCAAAACTGAGTGCTTTTTCACATTTAAATTCACTTGCTTTCTCTCCTGTATTAAGTCTCTGGTGACTCAAAACTGTACGTTGGTTCACAGTGAGCATTTTTTCACAGGTAAGTGTCAGTTGCTTGAAGTATTCCTGATTTTGATGTGTTTGAAATTGATTTTTGTCTTCCCAATCATCTCCAAAACATAAATCTTCAAGATTGTGTTTTATAAAAAATTCCTTCATTTCCCATTGAGATGATTCTTCATATGTGTTAGTTTTTTTCAATAACTTCTTGTTCTGACAACCGAAATCTATGTCTGAAACGTAAGTATGTACTGTTTATCCAAAATGAGATAAAGCATGCAATATAAAAAACTAAATCTTAGAGCATAATGCAAAAGAGATGAATGGCTTTAAAATGGAAAAATTATGAATATGAAAAAGGAACAAAGAATAAATATAAATTTAAAAGAGCCAATAAAAGCTGGGCCAGGTGAGAAAAGCATAAGTTTTGCTTTGACCACATTCATCTAAGGAATCAAAGAAAAAAAAAATGACTGCCCATGTAACTGATTAATAACAGAAAACGAATTCTAGGTTGTTTCACTCATTATGATCTAATCAAGTCAGCAAACTAACAACAATTCTGGAATGAATACGTGACAAAAAAGGAATGGTAGGCTTAGGATGTAATAAATGATATTACACAAACCAGGGTTCAGTAGTCATGAATGGAATAATCTAATTGTATAATAACAATGTAACACACTACACTGTCTGATCCTTTCATCTCTACTGAAATGACTACAAACATGACTTCACATGACTTTCTGTACAAATTTAAGAAAAAAAACATACCTAGGTGAGTTTAGTGAAAAACAATTTTAAAGATTGTCAAACTTCATTGTTCCATTTCCTTTGCATATGAAGTATTTCACTGATTTATTTATTTGACTATGCATAACAGTGTCAGTTTTTCCTCACATAATCTTTTTTTTCTTGATTTTTTTCTTATTTTTTTTCTATGTAAGTATGTAAACACAGTATGCTTACGACACTGAGTCTTTCCACAAATCTTTTTCCCTTCTGAGGCAAACAAACAAACAAACAACCGCACAAAAATAGGATATTTTCATAGTGTGCATAAGGTCCTGTCTTCAATCCTCAGTACCTCCAAAAGGAAAAAAACACAATGGGGCTGTAGCCCACTGGCAGACCTCTTAGTGTGAAGTCCATTACACAGAAGTTTAAGATCATGCTCTAGGGGATAATAAAGAGTTTCATAATACATAAGTCAAAATAAAATAAATAAAATAAAAGAATGAATCCACTAAATAGAGGAAACACAAGCAAGGAGAAAGCAGATTTAAAAAATTAACAAGGGGCCTTGACCAGTGGTTAAGAGCACTGGCTGCTCTTGGAGAGGACATGGGTTTGATCTCCAGAACCTACAAGGTAGCTCATGATCACTGGCAACACCAGTTCCGAGGGATCTGACATCCTCCTCTGGTCTTCTCAGACACTGCATCCATGTGGTATACATACATGAAGGCAAACACTCATACACACAAAGTTTTAAAAATTTTAAAAATTCTCAAGGAAGTGGGAAAAACGGGGGACCTCATAACTTGTAAGAGAATGAAGAAGGCTGTAAATGTCTGAATGAAAATTATAGAAAGCGAGAGGAAGAACTTCATCCCAACCATCCACAAAATGGTGACCAATGGAGAGGAAGAACATCATTTGCCTCTCTGTAATGTGAAGGACAAGTAAGAGCACATAAATGTAGCCAGGCGGTGGTGGCGCACGCCTTTAATCCCAGCACTCGGGAGGCAGAGCCAGGCGGATCTCTGTGAGTTCCAGGCCAGCCTGGGCTACCAAGTGAGTTAAAGGAAAAGGCGCAAAGCTACACAGAGAAACCCTGTCTCGAAAAACCAAAAAAAAAAAAAAAAGAGCACATAAATGAAGAGGTAGTGTGCTATGAGCCACAGGAATATGTAGTAAAAATTCAGCTGACTATGGTAAAGCTATACCTGGAAGAATCAGGGAATTCTTCCAAAGGAAAAGCCAAATCTCAAGGAGTATTTGGTGTTATTCAGCTTTTAATATATCAGCTGTTTCCTGCTATGAATTTCATGTGCGCTCTCATAGCTTCCCCCAGGAACTTCTAAGGTATTTAGATACAGTCATATATGCAAGGTTTCCTGCCTCCGGGACTTCTGCTTTTCTTTTTTAGCATTAAAACCAGATATCTCCTTTAGCTAACATACAAGGACAAAGCATTTCAGACCAACTGCTAGTCTCCTGAATTAAGGTAAACACCCATATGGAGACACTGCCTGTCTCCTTGGCCAGGCAGACATTAGGTACAGAGCTTTGTTTCTTGTGCAAATTAAGCTCAGACCCTCCTTTCTTACATAGCCTTAGTGGTATTTATACTAACATTATAGACACCTAACATTTTACCTAATCACTTTTATGAATATAGTTTGAGCATATAAATTCCCTTTTTCTGATATATTAACTGATTTTAGCTCTTAGTTGACCTCCCCTTTTGGGTTGTAAAAGAAAACCTGATAGTCACTGCCTGAGGAAAACTCTTATCTGCCTTTATGACCCTGTAAGAATTCAAGCCTGGTGACCTTGCCTTAGCCAGAGCATTGCTATTGCATGGGTATATAACTGTAAACCTCAGGGACTTGGGGACTAGATTGGAGAACTGGATGGAGAACTAGAAGGACAAAGGGTAGATGAGGAAAAGCCTGATGGGGAAGAACTAAGTGGGTAAGAATGAGATGTGAAAGACCTAGATGGGGCAGAACTAAGATGAAGGAATTAAGATAGCATTTAGAGGGAACAGCAGAAAAATGTAGAGAGAATCAGAAAAGAAAGAAGCTAAGTATTAGAGTATAAAAGAAGCTGTGTAGAGAGAAAACTAACTCAGAAGAATAAAGTGTATGGACTAAACAGTTTCATGTGTATAGATTTGTTAGTCAACCCCTCGGATTAATCTGTTGCTGGTAGCTTCTCTTCTGGAACTCTGGGTGACGGCTATCTAGAGGCTGGACCCCAATAGCTTCCATTAGTACTGGAAGTGAAAAGAAAGTTAATCTGAAAAGGTTTTGCCCTATAAACCACATCTGTGTCAAGCCTTTGGCCAGTGAAAAGCTATTTCAATGGTATTCTTGCCCATGAAGAAGCTAGGCTATTGTGTTGGCTCATTCTATGTCCATTTGACATAAGTTAGAGTTATCTGAATAGAAGGAACCTCAACTGAGAAAATGCCTCCATAAGATCCAGCTGTAAGGCACTTTCTCCATTAGTGACCAATGAGGAAGGGCCTAACCCATTGTGGGTGGTACCTGGTGGTCCTAGGTTCTATAAGAAAGCAGGCTGAGCAAGACACAAGGAGCAAGACAGTAAGCAGCAACCCCCATGGCCTCCGCATCAGCTCCTGCCTCCAGGATCCTGCTCTGCTTGAGTTCCTGTTCTGACTTCCTCTAATGATGGACTATGATCTAGAAATATAAGCCAAATAAACCCTTTCCTTCCTAGCCTGCTTTTGGTCATGGTGTTTCACTGCAGCAATAGAAACCCTGACTAGGACAGCTGTCATCTATACTGATGACTGTCCCATTCTACCTTAGCCCTCACTCACCTGGATAAAGTCCTCTTGTCTCATCCATCAAAATCATCCTGGGGTCTTTTCTTTTTTCTAATAAGGAGAACAGGTGTGGCAGATGAACACAGAATCCTGCCCAGAAGATTTTTTAAAAAAGGAAATGAGCGCATGGGTAAGAATTCCACAATTATCATCTGGTCCCTTGGTTATTAAGGGACAATAGGAACAAGAAAAAGCCAAAAAGTATTTCTGACAGGGAAGGAAGATGAAGGATCCCAATGATAGTGACTATTGCCAATCTTGTATATTATAAACCATTTTCACACAAATTCCTCCACACCTTTGAGAAAGAACCCATAATAATGCAAGACTTTCTAGGGCTGAGTTCTGACTCACCCACTGAGATGAGGTGGCTGTAGGTCTCCATCATCACATCTGTGTATAAAGTCCTCTGTTCCATATTCAGGCACTCCCACTCTTCCTCAGAGAAGTCTATAGCCACATCTCTGAACGTTACCAGCTCCTTAAAGGACACACCAAACATCAGAGGTGAATTTAAAGAAACTGTTTAGATGGAAGGAAAAACTATGAAAAAGCAGTGGCCACAAAAGATAATGACTGTCTGGAGTTGGTAGTCTGGAGTATGGCAGGAAGAGGTACGGAAGTAAATGTAACTAACAGAGCTAAGTGCCTGTAGGCATTTAATATCTCCAACTGCTGCTGGGGTTTGTTGGCATGCACCTATAATCCCCAGCACTGGAGGCAGAGGAAAGCAGAGCTCTGTGAGTTCCAGGCCTAGGGAGTCCACATAGTCAGTTCAGGCCAGACAGGGCTACATGGTGAAACCCCTGTCTCAAAAAAGAAGAGAAAAGAAAAGAAAAAAGAAAAAAAAATTGAGTATGGTAGCCCCAAATAAAATAAGGCCATAGGGTATCTTGCTGACATTGTTCAGACAGCTGAGAATCAATAGCAGCAGATTATTACCCGAGAAAAAATTTGAGGTGTTTTACTTTTTTTTTTTTTTTTTTTTTTTTGAGTAAGTTACTACTAGTTGGATTTTCTAATCCTTTAGTAATTTAAACCCTTAGACAATTTAAACAATTCAACTGCCAGGGAAGCAGGTAGGCTGACTGCAGATCTTTACCCCTCCCTCTGCTCCTGCAAATCCAACCCCAAATCCAATCAGTCTCATCCCCAGCTCCACAGCAAAACATCTGCTGCAGCCTCCTTCCTCCCCCACCCCTCCCTCATCCCTAGTGGATCGCAAAGACCTTCCCCTCCTAACCTCTCTCCCCCAACTTGTTGCTTTATTCCAGCCCACAACTCCAGCAGGCATTCCCTGCAAACCCACAGGCCACTCTGGCCAGGGTAGCACGTAGGCTAACTGCGTATCCTCACATCTGCTGCTCCTCCAAATCCAAACCCCCAGCTTCATGTCCAGCTCTGTGGCAGACTTTCTGCTGCGGCCTCTCCTCACACTCTGTCCCCATTCCCAGGGGATTAACTAAGAAGATCCTCACAGAACACCCTGTTTTCCACCCTCCTGTGGATCCCCCTCTCAACACCCCACCAGCCTGTGTCCATTCCTAGGTGTCAGCTTCTAACACTCAGAAATATATTTTACCTAGAATCTCCAGTATCCACACATATCAGGACCTCCAAAGAATTTCCTACTAGACAGCATACAGCCACCACACTCTCCTAAGAACCAAAGAGGAAACAGAAACCGAGGAACAAAACTCCACTCAACAAAGACAAGACCAATATCAACACCTAGAATTACAATCTTCCCAATTCCAGATGCCTAGACTCCAGTGTAAAAACACAATCAGTAAAAGCAAGGTCAATGTCTCCACTAGAGCCCAGCAACCCTACCATAGCAGGCCCTGAATATTCCAACATAGATAAAAAACAAGAAAAAGACCTTAACAGTCTATATGAATATGATAGAGGTCCTTAAAGAGGGAAATTAATAAATCACTTCAAGAAATCTAACACAAACAGTGGAAGAAAATTAATAAAATTGTTAAGTACTGAAGGTAGAAATAGAATTAATAAAACCCAAACTGAAGGAAATATGGAAATGAAAAATTTAAGAACTCAAACAGGACCCACAGAGGCAAGCTTCACCAACAGAATATAAGAGATGGAAGAAAGAATATCAGGCATTGAAGACAGGATAGAAGAAATGGGTACATTGATTAAAGAAAATGTTAAATGTAAAATACTCCTGGCATAAAACATGAAGGAAATCTGGGCAGTATAAAAGACCAAATCTAAGAATAATAGGAATAGATGAAGAAGAAACTCAGGTCAAAAGCACAGAAAATATTTTCAACAAAATCATACAAGAAAATTCCCCTAACCTAAAGAAGGAGATGTCTATTAAGGTACAAGAAGCTTACAGAACACCAAATAGACTGCACCAGAAAAGAAAATCCCCTTGGTACAAAATGATCAAAACACTAAATGTACAGAACCAAGAAAGAACAGTAAGAGCTGCAAGGGAAAAAGACCAAGAAACCTATTGTGGAATAATCTTTTTGTACACCGTGAAGATATGCCACTCTGATTGGTTTAATAAAAAGCTGAATGGCCAATAGCTAGGCGGGATTTCCAGGCACAGGGGATGCTGGGAAGAAGAAGGAGAGACACCAGGAGACTTGGAGGAGGCAGCATGGACATTTACACAGTAGGGTGACCACATGATGTAAAATAAACAGATGAAGAGATATGGGCTAACTTAAGGTCTAAGAGCTAGTTAGAAAGAAGCCTAAGTTGTCAGCTGAGCTTTCATAATTAATATTAAGTCTCTGCATCATTATTGGGGAGCCAATGGTCCCAATGAAAAAGTCCAACTACAGAAACCTATTAGAATTACACCTGACTTCTCAATGGAGACTCTAAAAGTCAGAAAGGCCTGGACAGATGTGCTGCAGACTCTTACGGGACCACAGATGCCAGCCCTGACTACTAAATCCAGTAAAATTTTCAATCACCATAGATGAAGAAAATAAGATATTCCATGATAAAATCAAATTTAAGCAATATATATCTACAAATCCAGCCATACAATGGGTAGTAGAAGGTAAAATTCAAACCTAAATAATTTAAATACATTCAAGAAAACACAGAATAAATAATCCCAGAGCAGCTGTTGCACAAATCCTAAATGGTCTTATAATAAAAACCTGGAGCCAGATATCAGGGTGAAAGCTGAAAGGTCAGAGAAGCAGAGCAAGCCACAGCCACCACCTCTTACCTCACCCACTCCTCAGCCTGACAGAGCATCTGCAAGAGAGAGAATTCCTGTCTTCTCCTGACTTATATTCCTGTCTTTGCCCAGCCATATCACTTCCTATCTCAGCCTTCCTAGTGCTGGGATTAAAGGTGTGTGATCACAACTGCTGGAATTAAAGGTGTGTGCCACCATGGCCTCCTGTTTCTCTTTTAGACTGGATTAATCTCATGTAGCCCAGTGTGGCCTTGAATTCACAGAAATCCAGACAGATTTCTGCCTCTGCCTCCCAAGTGCTAAGATTAAAGGTGTGTGCCACCACTGCCTGACCTCTGTGGCTAACTCTGTGGCTGGCTCTGTCCTCTGATCTTCAGGCAAGCTTTATTTCTTAGATGACAAACAATATATCACAAGCAGCAAAATTAAAAGGAGGAAACACACACACATACACACACACACAAAAAAAAAAAAAAAACACCACCACCACTACTACCAATATCACCACCACCACCAACAACAAAATAACATGAATCAACAATCAGTAGTCATTGATATTTCTCAACATTGATGGTCTCAATTCCCCCAATAAAAAAGACACAGACTAACAGAATGAATGCAAAAACAGGATCATCCTTCTGCCATATCCAAGAAACATACCTTCACATCAAGGATAGATATCACCTGAGGATAAAAGGACTAAAATGATATTCTGAGCAAACAGACCTAAGAAGCAAGCTGGTGTGTCGGAGCCTGCCGACAGTCAGCTGGGTAGCTGGGTAGAGGCGTGAGGATTGAAGAGACAATGAAGAAGACAGAAAAGAGTCGAGAGGTCTGCCGGTCAATGCCGGACAGCCCCGAGTTTATTTCACAGCCAGCTTGTATACAGTTTTGAAGGACAGAGGTAGGACAGTGCATAGCGCAGGCATTCAACCACTATCCATCCTGCCTTGCACCAAGGAGCAGGCAGTTTCATTTTCTATCTCAATGTACCTCTGGAAGGCATCAGCAGCCTGTGTCTAGTTAGTGTGTTCTTCCTGTGGGTTAATCAGGACTTTCTCACAGCCCTTTAAGGAGACTCTGCAGGCTAATTAGAACTTTCTCACAGCCCTGGAACAAGCAAGCTTGAATTCTGTTGACTCAAAATAGACTTCAGATTCAAACTGGGAAACTGAGTCAGTTGTGGGCTCCCACACTGGTGTAGCCATTATAGTATCTGACAAAACAGATTTCATACCAAAACTAATCAGAAGAGATAGGGAGGGACATTACAGACTCATCAAAAAGAAAACTCCACCGAAAGGACATTGCAATTCTTAACATCACCAAACTCAAGGGCACTCAAGTCTTAACAGCAACATGACTACAGCTGAAATCACACATGGACCTTCATACACAGATAGTGGGAGATTTTAATAACCTACTCTTGCCAATAGACAGATCATCCAGACAAAAAAAACATGCAGAGGAATGTTGGAACAACCTGACATTATAAACCAAATGGACCTAACAGATATTTACAGAACATTTCACCCAAACACAAAAGAATGTACCTTCTTCTCAACACCTCACAGAACTTTCTCCAAAATTGACCACATATTCAGACACAAAGAAGGTCTCAACATGCACAAGAAAATTGTAATACCAGACTGCATCCTATCTGTCCACCATAGATTAAAGTTGGATATCAACAACAACAGAAACAACAGAAAGCTTACAAACTCGTGGAAACTGAACTCTCTACTGAATGAAAAATGGGTCAAGGCAGAAATTAAGAAAGATTTTCATGGTGTCCCAAATTTCTTGGACGTTTTGTGTTACGACTTTTTTTGCTTTAGTGTTTTCTTTGACTGACGAATCTATTTTCTCTATTGTGTCTTCAGTGTCAGAGATTCTCTGTTCCATCTCTTGCATTCGGTTGGTTATGCTGGCATCTGTAGTTCCTGTTCGTTAAGTCAGAATTTCTATTTCCAGCATTCCCTTAGTTTGTATCTTCTTTATTGTCTCGATTTCAATTTTCAAATTGAAAATTTGTTTCCTTCATCTGTTTAATTACTTTTTCTTGGCTTTCTTTGATTTCTTCTAATTTTTTGTTTTTTCTTCCATTTCTTTAAGGGAATTTTTAATTTCCTCTTTAAGGGAGTTTTTCATTTCCTCTTTAAGGGCCTCTATCATCTTCTTAAAGTCACTTTTAGGACTGATTTCTTCTGCTTCTGCATAGGTATGTTCAGGTCTTGCAGGTGTAGAATCACTAGGTTCTGATGTTGTCATATATGTTGTTGCCTGTA